AACATACGGATCCATTGTTTGGTGGCCGAAAGGATTACAACGGACGGCCAAATCCAAACTCTCTGGACTGCAGAGATTAGCATGCATGATCGTAACGGGAGCAATTAGCACCACACCATCAGCTGCAATGGAAATCCTCCTGGATTTACCCCCTCTTCATATATATCTGGAGAGAGAGGCCAGGTGGGCAACATACAGACTGCAACAAGCGGCAATTAATATGCCGCAGACTAGTATCATGGAGCGGAACAGGTTGTTGGATGACATAGAGAATCACAGCATCCTGGAAATGCCCTCAGATACTATGCCTACCATGACCAACTACGAGCTGACCTTCAACATCCTTTCTCCAGAAAGAGAGGAGTGGGATCGGAATAAAGCCGACCTACTGAAGGCAGACAGTTGTTGGTTTACAGACGGCTCCAAAACTCCCGAGGGAACAGGAGCCGGAGTACATAGCTACAGACCAAGGGTGAGGATATTCTCAAGCCTAGGTACTCATGCAACTGTTTTTCAGGCAGAGGTTCATGCCATTGAACTGTGTGTACGAAGGCTGGAATATATGCATCTTACACGCAGATCAATAAAAGTTTTCTCAGATAGCCAAGCAGCTATAAAAGTTCTTGGCTCCTACCGGTGTAACTCCAAAACGGTATGGAACTGTCAGAAAGCTCTAAATCATTTGAGCAAGAACAACAAAGTGATTCTGGTCTGGATACCCGGCCACTCTGGTATGGAAGGTAACGAAATAGCGGACTCCTTAGCCAGAGAAGGAGCGGGATCACGATTCATCGGACCAGAACCAATAGTTGGCATATCCTGAAGTACTGCCAAGATGGCTATCTCAACCTGGGCTGAAAGGCAAACTCTCTAGTATTGGCAAGAGTTACCAGGATTAGTTCATTCGAAGGTGTTTATAAAATACCCGATTAAACTACCATCTGCATAAACTCGGCCTAGAGGAAAACGCCGAGTGCCGTCTAAGCCTGGAAGATGATGAAAAAGCAGACCACATCCTATGTACCTGTCCCGTTGTGGAGAGGATCCGATTCTCAATATTTGGCAAAGGGCAACTACTACCAGAGGATCTGGACGCATTCTCACCCAATAAAATTAAGAGGGGCCAAAACCACCCTTAAAAACATGAAACGTGATTATCAATAAAAAAATTAAATTTTCAATATAAATACCCAACCTATCCAAATTATGATTGGAATCGTAACATCGATTTGATTCGGTTCCATGCAAATCGATTCGAGTTGTGAATCGATTCGCGATTCGATACAAATTATTATGAATGCGACAGTTCTTCATACTCCTAAGTGTGCAATATGATTTCATAATTTTATATTTTATCTTTTCAGTGTATGTTTATACAGGTTGTGGAGCTTAAATGCGATACAAGCCTGTAACTCCTTTATTTTTTGGCCAATTTAAAAAAAATTTTTTTTAGAATGCAATGAAACAAAAACTCTACCTACGTGTGATACTGATTTTTTTTAATTGCTATTAGCTTTTTTTTTTTAAAAAATTGATTACATCTTCTTATTCAGCATTCCTTAAAACGTCTTATCAAAATATGGATTATAAACTAAAATCTGGATAAAATCATCATGGAGTGCTCGCCTAAAGATGATCTGAATTTGATGAAACTTGGTGATAAGATATTTTAAGGGATGTTGAATAAGAATATGTAATAAATTTTTTGAAAAAAAAAATCGTTAATAGCAATTCATTATAAATTACCCACCCCCTTGTCATCATTATTGCCTATAGAAAAAGTTTTAAATAAAAGTTGTGTGGTTATGACTAAATGTTGTTCAAATGCTATCAAAAGTACAGTAGCGTGCAGATTTCAGGGGATACAAAAAAATATTTGTTTTTAAATGGGATACCCTGTATATTATTAAACGTTTGGAATGATCCTTTGTTCCTGATTTCAAAAATATACCATATGATACCCCTACCATATACCATTTTTGAGTTATTAACGTCGAATATCTTAGTTAAACTAGTTACTGTAAATATGGGAAAGTTAACATTATTAAAGTGAGCTATGAAAATGACATTATGTTTGATGTGACATTTCTTTAATGAAATTATCAAAATGGTTTACAATGAGGAAGAAAAACCAAATATTTATACAAAATAGATAACAACGATTTATTTAGGAAATTTAAATATAAATAAATGATCTCATAAAAGATGTTCGATATGTCCACCATTATTGTCAATGCATAATTGATAACGTCTTCTTATATTTATAATTGCACCAGAAATGGCTTCATTATTCACATTCAGATTGTTTATTTCAAGTCGAATCCTGTCTTTAATGACTTGAATACTATTATTATTATTATTGACAATGTCTTTTAGAAATCCCCAAAAAAAAGAATCCATAGGGGTCAAATCCGGATTGTTAGGTGGCCATTTAATAGGTCCATTATTCCCTATCCATATTGGGAATAGATTATTCAAATGATCTCGAACGGGTAGGACACTATGCTGAGTTGCCCCTTCCTGCATCCAAATCATATCATCAAGTTCGGCTTCCGCAAAATTTTGCAAAAGAATATTTTCTGCTTCTGGGATAATTATTTCCAAATAGATAACTCCAGTTAAAGTATAATCATAAAATATAGGCCCAACAATTTTGTTTCTAAAAATTCCACACCAAACGCTAACAGTTTTTCTTCCTGATTTTTTTATTTGTTTTACCAATCTTTTTCTGTTGTGCTTGTTTTCCCACGACCTTCGATTTTTCCTATTAAAAACTCCTGCCGTAGAAAAGGATGAATCATCAGTCCATAATATTTTAGTAAAAAAATCGGAATCTTCATCCAACTTTTGAATCATCTGGAGGCAAAAGTCCAGCCTTTTCCTTTTATGAGCCTCTGTTAAAACTTGTACGGGTAAAATGTTATATGGTCTGTAGCTGTTATTTTTTAACGTACGTTGGATTTTGGAATAACTTTTACCTAATTGATCGACTGCATTATTTATACTACATTCAGAATTTTTTAAAAAAAATAATAGAATAAAAATAAATGTTTCCTCTTCCTGGCAAAAGTTTAAAATATAGAGTGGAATGAAAAAATAACGCCGAAAATTTTTTTTCTAATTATTGTTTACTACTTTTACAAAACTTATCATAGCTAAGTACAATATACAGGGTGGGGCAATAGTGCGTCGGACCTCGATATCTCGAGTTCTACGATAGCTAGAAATTTTTTAAAAAATTGCAAGTAAACTAGATAAAAAAGTCTATAACTGGAAATTATTTTCCAACGTACAGGGCGAGCCAAGACGAAATTACAGGACCAAGTTTGCCTTTTTATTTAAATGGAATGCTATGTATATCAGTACATTTTTTGAAGCCTTTCTAGGCTCTATTCATTCCTATATTATTATTGGCTATCTCCCAACCACTTTGATGTAATGAATTTCTTTGTTGAAATAATGCCATCTGCAGATGGATATTAAAAAAAATCACCACAGTTACAATAATTATGGGTTTTAAGAAAAATTATGTGAATACCAGTTACAGACATCTAATTAATATTTTTGAATCATTTTCATTTCCTAAAAATGTACAGGGTGACCAAAAATTAGTATTCAATTAAGAACTTTTTAAATTGAATTTTCTCAATTTTTTTCAAATGATTTCAAATATTTTTCAACGATGTGATGAAAAATGAAAAACGAACATTTTTTGTAAGTACTTCCCTATGGCTAATTGCATTTGAAAAAAAAAAAAAAAAAAAAAAAAAAAATTAATTAAAAAAAATTTTTGGGGCCCGCCCAAAAAAAAAAAAAAAAAAAAAAAAAAAAAAAAATAGGGGGGCCCTGAAGGGATTTAAAAAAATTTTTTTAAAAAAAAAAATTTGGGGGGGGGGGGGGTTTTTTTTTTTACCCCCCGGGGGGGGGGATAAAAAAAAAAAAAAAAAAAAAAAAAAAAGGGGGGGGGGGAAAAAAAAAAAAAAAAAAAGGGAAGGAAAAGGGAAAAAAAAAAGGGGAAAAAAAAAATTTAAAAAAAAAAAAAAGCTTTTTTTTTAAAAAAAGGCCCTGGGTCCTGTAATTTCGTCTTGGCTCGTCCTGTATGTTCGAAAATAATTTCCAGTTATAGACTTTTTTATCTAGTTTACTTGCAATTTTTTAAAAAATTTCTAGCTATCGTAGAACTCGAGATATCGAGGTTCGACGCACTTTTGCCCCACCCTGTATATCTTTTTTAAACAATTTTTTTTTTTAATTAAAAATAACATTATTGAGTCAGTCACACTGAACATAATATACATATTATCTTCTTTATAATCCAAGTTTCAGCGTTTTGGCAAATAGCGGAGAAAATGTTTACCTTTCGGTAAATATTTTTGAACGTATTTTCTGATGGTGTTGGACGATTTGGATACAACACCCTATATGCTCTTTTTGCTGCACGTTTATTTTTGTTATTTTGTATATAACAAGCAAATATTTGGACTTTTTCTTCCTCACTGTAAACCATTTTGATTATTTCATTAAAGAAATGTCACTTATCAAACATAATAGTTGTCATTTTCATAGCTCACTTTAATAATGTTAACTTTTCCATATTTACAGTCACTAGTTTAACTAAGATATTCGACATTTAATAACTCAACAACGATATATGATAGGGGTAACATATAGTATATTTTTGAAATCTGGAACAAAGGATCATTCCAAAAATTTAATAATAAACAGGGCATCCCATTTAAAAAAATATATATTATTTTTTTTGTATCCCCTGAAATAAATTTGCACGCTACTGTACTTTTGATAGTATTTTAACAAATTCAGTCATAACCACACAACTTTTATTTAAAACTTTTTTTCCTATAGGCAATAATGATGAAGGGTGGTAACTTATAATGAATAACCCTGTACATACTAGGTATATAGAAATTTATTTTTATATTATATAAGTTAGGTAATGCTTAGTATATATAACTGTAATTTGAATTATTATGATTGATTGTGGCTTCATGGTTGAGTGGTAAGGACACTTGCCTCTCACCCTGGTATTCCGGGTTCAATCCCCGGGCAAGGAGCTAGGATTTTTTATAAACCAGAAAATAATTCTAGCATACTCGGACATTGGGTGTGTCCATTGTCTGTAAATATGTCTCTCCCACACAAAGTACCTTGATGTACCTTCAGGGATACAGGTGGTTGTATTAACTGTGGTGTTCAATTTTAATTTTTAATTTTAAATTACTTTTATGATTTATGTTCAATCGTATACTGTAATTTGTTTTATTTTTTTAAGAAGTTTTTTGTACTCTTGACTTGTCAAAACACCACAGTGTATTTATGACCAATAAAATCAACCAATCAATCATGATAAACGATTCAATCAATTCTAATCGATATTTTTTGCGAATCGAAAATCGATTCAGTATGTCTCGACATCGCCAGATAGTCAAAATGTGAAAGAAAATATTTCCGTACCTATTACTCCATATATTTTTTCAGGAACATTAGAAGCTGCACTGCCCTGATCAATTCCATTAACAAAGAAATGTAACAATCCATTTTCCTTCCTTAAAACTCCAACACGGTCTCCAACTTGTAATCGATCCAAATTGACACCATACTGCTCAAGCACAATGGTTCCATTATGCATTATTCCACTTCCTGTCATCATCCATGTACCTGACCTCACATTTGTCATCGTAAAAGGAAATTCTAGATCCATAGGGCTATGAGTGGTCACACCAATTTCAATGGATCCTGCCCATTTAGTAACTACTCTGTCTAATCTGACTTCAAATAATTCACCAGTTTTCAAAGGTCGAGCAGTAAGTACTACCCCATTATTAAAATCATCAGCTGCATTAGGCCTATGAGCAGTACGCCCATTGTTAATAACTTGAGCATGTGTTCCACAGTTTGGATGGAAATTTAGTCGGTCATAATAATCAGGCAAAGGCTGTGGATCTGGTACAAGCATTTGTTGGTCTCTAGTATTCTTTCTAGTCATTAGATTTTGTTCCTCTCGTTCATCTCTCTCAACTATCGAAACCTGTAAAAATATTTATATAGAATTTTATATTTACAAAAACGAAAGTGTGTATGTGTTTGTGTTTACCACAGATATTTAGTAATAATAAAAACATGTTTTCATAGTATACCTTGATAGTCATTCCATACAAATCAATTACACCCCATACAGTTGCAGGGACTCTTTGAGCAGCAATTCCTTGATCCAAACCATTAATAAAATAATGCAAATTTCCGTCTGGTTTCCGCATCATTCCTACCCGATCTCCTTCAGCTAACTCATCTAAATTGAAGTCTCCATATTCTCGTCTTGTCCCTTTCCCATTTGTGAGTATACCACAGCCAGACATCATTATTGTACCACTTCGCATATTGGTCATTGTTGCAGGAAATACCAAAGTATTTGGATTATGAGTGGTTATACCCATCTATATAACCAAAGGATATATATATAAAATATTTTATATATAAAAAAAAAAAAAAAAAAAAAAAAAAAAAAAAAAAAAAAAAAAAAAAAAAAAAAAAAAAAAAAAAAAAAAAAAAAAAAAAAAAAAAAAAATAAAATTTTATATATATATATATATTTTATATATATATATATATATATATATATATATATATATATATATATATATATATATAAACATAACACAAACATAAATATCATATAAATTATACAACCACCAAATCCAAAGCAGTAGCTGTACGGGAGGGGTTACATTGATGAAACGTGGACATACAACCACTTCCTTCGACTTTGTCAGGGTCGAAGTCGGGATTTTAACCCGGGAGTCGGCAGGCAGCAAACCAGCTACGTTTGTCATTTTTCACTCTAGCCCACTGCACTACCGTGCTCAGTATTTGAGATAAGACAATTTGGTTACATTTAAAACAATCTAAATCCCTAGTAAAATTACCTCTATACTTCCACTCCATTTATCCACTAGACGATCTATTCTTATTTCAAATAATTCTGAATCCCGTAAAGGTCTATGTGTCATAACTACGCCATTATTAAATTCATCCAAAGGACGTCGTCTTTCTGCACTACGGTTGCCATTTGATAATTTTACAAGGGAACCACATCTGTCATGGAATCTTAGCCTATCTTGTCTTGAACTTTCTTCAGGAAGGCTTAAACTACATAAAATGCAAATTATACAGGGTGTTCCATAACTAAGTACCTTCCTGAAGGGGGGATAGAATTAGGAAAAATAAGTTGTTTTGTGCATAAACATTTGCCTTAAATTAGTTCATAAGGAAGCTACAGCTCCTTAAATGAAGTAAGTAGAGCAGTTATTTGCCAATAAATTCAAAACTTTTCAAGTTGCAAAAATTAAATTTGGACAATTTATTAATTTCATGACGTTATATGTTTTGTCAAATTTTTATTTAAATATCATGATTTGTTGGGGTAATTACAAAAGGGGTGAGGATGAATTTTTGCCATAATTTTTTTGTTAATTTTTTTTTAGGCATTTAAAACGAAAAAAGGTGCCATTTAAAAAACAAGGTGCACACTTTAATAAATTTCGATAGAAGCCATCGTTTTGGAGTTTTTTATATTTTAATAGAATAGAATATTTTCACTTAAGACATACAAAATGTGTGTGAACGTCAAAAAAATGCATTATAAAAATAAAAATAACTAATAGTATATAGACAGACAAATGCTTAAAAACAATTATAATACTAAGAATTTAAGACAAATTAAAAGTCAATTAAAAAACATAATAAGTGAATGAGTGAAATTTCACTCATTTTTTTCGTCAACATCAAGAACAGTATACATACATACAAAATAAGTTTGCGAGTTGTAAGAGAAAGAAAGTAAAGTCACAGCGAATACCCTGCAAATGCGCATATCTACTACCATAAAAATCACTGTCAATACTTTCTTTCTTTTTTTTACAACTTTCTAAAAAACTTATTTTGCTAATTAAAGTTTTCCATAAGTTCTTTGATGTTGACAATTTTTTTTAAAAAAAATTTACAAAAAAAATACAAAATTTATGAATTTATATAAAAATAATTCGAGTATAAAAAATCTAGACGTGATAGAAAAATATGGCCAACGGGAATAGATTCAGAGCATTAAAATCTTCATACTTATAGCATAATTTTGCCCTTGGTTAAGCGAGGATTTCGTTTGCAATTTACCTTAGTGTCTAATAATATTCCTAAATATTTGATAAAAACTTTTGGTTTGAGTGTCTGGTTATGTAAAGATAATATTATGGAAGAGACAGAAAGAGTGGTGAAAAATAATTAGATGAGATTTCAATGGATTAAGTTTGAGAGTCCATTTATTAAACCATGTAGATGTTTTTTGCATAAATGTTGTAAGGCTCTTCTTTACGGCACTGAATGGTTGTGTGAAATTAAAGCATTATCATCAGCAAACTGAAGAATATACTCCGAAAAATCAAAATGTGTCATTATATGGATGCGAGTAGATATTCGCATAATAGATATTATATAAGAAGGGCGAAAGAGGGGAGCTTTGAGGGAGTCATTGTTCCATCGTAAATTTATAGGAATATTTATTTATTATTTTTACCTTTAAATTACGATCTTGTAGCGGACTTGTTAAAATTGCAATAAGGTAATTTGGACAATTTATTTGTACGAGTTTGTAAATTAGACCTTTTACCCATACACTATCAAAGGATATACTTACATCTAAGAATTCTGCACCTATGTACATTCCATTTAGTTTAGCTGTTTCTATGTTGTTTACCAGAATGGTCAATGGGTGAATAGTAAAACATTTTGATCTAAAGTCAAATTGATACTCAAATATGTAAGCCAGCTGCTTTTTAATAAATTTTTCCAGATTTTTGCCAAGCACTGGTAATAAAGTGATTGGCCTATAATTGCATGTTTTTGAGTGATCTGTATTGAGTTTCGGTAGTGTTATTATTGTGCCTAATTTCCATTCGCCGGAAAAGTGGGTGTTTCAAGCAATATTCGTATACTTTAATTATGAATACGTGAATGTTAGTGTTCAAAATTTCGGTATCAATAAGTTGCAGTATTTGCCACCATGGTGGAAAATTGCCGTGGTAGTTCTGTTCCTAAACCCAAACAAAAACGCATAAGACAAGAATAACATAGGCCCATCTCCCTACTTACTGCGATGAGTAAAGTAGCAGAAAAAATAATACTTTGCAGGTGAAACCCACATACCTAGAAGATATATACTGCTTATGGTCGACTGCGTATCGGTACTGAGTTTGCAATAAAAGAAGATAAAATATAGTCGCCATTTTGATGCACTGCGCGCGCACATGAGGATAAAAGTATAAAATAGCACAACACAACATACACATTGTAACGGTCCATTTTCAGGAGTGATTAGTTTGGATCACTTTCGTCGTAAATTAAATAAACTGTTTCAAATCATACATTAAATTCCAGACTTGATTAGAATAATTTGGTTAAATATTGTCATATTGTCCTTGTAGCGTGGCGCTACGGAATCCCTGGTGTATTTATAACTGCTCCGTGAGTGCGCGGGGGGGGGACCGAACGATGTTTTTGGGATTGCTTCAGCGCGCGAAACGTTAGACTGTTAAGCTGCGGTCCGGCGTGGATTCTTTTTTTCGTGTGCCTTGTAAAGACTGGGCTGAGCCACGATCCTGGTCGGATCGTCAGCCGAAGTACCTTGTGTTTCCTATGTTGAGTACGTTATCTTATTATTATTTTTTTTGTGAAGACAATGCTGAGCCGCTGGGCAGTGTAGACGTGTGCATTGAGTTTGGTATGTTACCTAGCTTTATTTTGGCGAAAAGTGAATGTATTGCCTTATCTAAGTACGTGCAAAACAAGTTGGAGCTGCAGTGGATGGTGGAGATACGTTACCTAGCAATCTTTTTGTGGTTGATGTGATCGGCTGCCTGGAAGCTTTCTGAAATCTTGTAAGAAATAAGATGATGTGCGCGCTGGGCCCTAACCGCTGGTAAGGTCATCTTTGTTAATTTGAACAGTAACTAGGTACCTAGCACCGAAATCAGCAGCTGTTGCTGTCTGAAGATGCCGCTCAAGTGCG